TGTAGAACTCACCTTCTGGACGTAGATTATCCTCTGGTTTATTTTGTGTTGGGCGTTCGGCGGGCCTAAATCCTGTCTTCTCAGGTGTGTAAAATTCACCTTCTGGTCGCAAATTATCTGCATATTTTACTTGCGATGGACGTTCTCCAGGTTGGAATTTTGGTTTTTCTGGGGCATAAAATTCACCCTCTGGCCTCAAGTTGTCTTCCGGGCGCTGTTGAGTTGGACGCTCAGCAGGTATGAAACTAGATTTTTCGGGAGTATAAAACTCTCCTTCTGGCTTCAAGTTGTCTATGTGCCGAATTTGCATTGGTTTCTCTCCTGGTTGGTATTTTGGTTTTTCTGGAGTATAAAATTCTCCCTCTGGCTTAAGATTATCAGTAGGTTTCACCTGATCGGGTCTTATTACAAACTGATATTCCGTTTTTGTTTCAAACGTCATTTCGCCTTCTGAGCGCAAGTTATCATTTCTTATAACACGCTCAATCCGCTCGGCAGATCTATATGGGATCTTTTCTGGTGCCGTAAAGTCACCTTCGGGTCTTAGATTATCCACCGGCCTCTTTTGTGTTGGGCGCTCTGCGGGCTGGAAGCCGACTTTTTCTGGTTTGTAGAATTCGCCTTCCGGCCGCAAATTGTCCTCTGGTTTCTTCTGTGTGGGGCGTTCAGCAGGTGTATATCCTGGTTTTTCGGGAGTAAAGAAGTCACCTTCGGGTCGTAAGTTATCCTCTGGCTTCGTTTGCATTGGGCGTTCCGCTGGCCTAAATCCTGGCTTTTCTGGTGTGTAAAACTCGCCTTCTGGTCTCAAGTTATCTTCTGGTTTTTTCTGCATTGGACGCTCGGCAGGCTTATATTCAGGCTTCTCGGGAGTGTAAAATTCACCTTCTGGTCGCAAATTATCTGCGTATTTTACTTGGGATGGGCGCTCTCCTGATTGGAATTTTGGCTTTTCTGGGGCGTAAAAGTCACCTTCAGGTCTTAAATTATCCTCTGGTCGTTTCTGCGTTGGACGATCAGCAGGAATAAAACTATGCTTTTCAGGGGTGTAGAACTCGCCTTCGGGTTTAAGGTTGTCTGTATGCCGGATTTGCGTTGGTTTCTCGGCTGGCTGGTATTTGGGCTTCTCCGGACTGTAAAACTTTCCTTCTGGCTTTAGATTATCAGTAGGTTTAACCTGATCAGGCCTTACAATGGAATGATATTCTTCTTTGGTTTCGAATGTCATTTCGCCTTCGGTGCGAAGGTTATCCATTCTTTTAATTCGCGTTGGCCGTTCTGCTGACTCATATGGAATCTTTTCAGGGACCGTAAATTCGCCTTCCGGTTTTAAATTATCTTTCGGTTTTTTTTGTAATGGACGTTCAGTGGGCTGATAACCTTGCTTTTCAGGAGCATAAAAGTCTCCCTCGGGCTTTAGATTATCTTTATGTTTTATTTGAATAGATTTTTCTGCTGGTTGGTACTTTGCCTTGTCTGGCACATAGAATTCACCTTCAGGCTTTAGGTTGTCGATAGGCCTAACTTGGACAGGTCTTGTTACATACTGATATTCCTCCTTTTCGGTAAAGGTCATTTCTCCTTCCGTACGCAGGTTATCATTACGAGTTATAATTTTAGTTCTCTGTGATGGCTGGAATGAAATTTTTTCCGGAACTGTAAATTCTCCTTCAGGTTTTAAATTATCCACCGGCTTAATCAAAGTGGCTTGATCACCGAGATCATATAATAGTTTTAAACGAGATTTTTCAAGGTCTTTTTTAGACCAAGTGTTGGAACGTATACGTGCCTCTGACTCATCCAACAAATCTGTAAATATTTGCAATTTTTTTTAGCAAAAACAGAGATGTTTGTAAATATTAAATATTACCTGTAGTCTCCAAAATAGTATCTGTTTGCTTCACACTTGAGGTACAGTGATGACGTCTGGAAAAGCACAATTGGAAAATGTGAAAATGGGGATCTTATTCTCAGTTAGAAAATATCGCATGTTTAATAACAAGGAGAATTATTTCAAAACTTTCATACATATGAGTAAACGCAAACAAAGTTTGACCAATTCATATACATAGTTAGTTGGTATAAAAAACAGATGCAACGACACATTTATTCGAAATTTTTTGTGAGTTTAGTTATCTGTTACACTGAACATCTTCTCCTTATCAAATATTATAATTGCAACCTTAAAAAACGTATAAACGTGCGTTATTAATATATGAATAATATGCATATGAATAAGATATGAATATATCGAGCCCTAACTGCCAAAATAACGTAAGCGACATTTATTTCAAAATTTTCTTTTTGATGCAGAAATGCATCTAGATAATCGAGGAATATTTCTGCATCAAAAAGAAAATTTTGAAAAAAATTTCGCTTGCGTTATTTTGGCGGTTAGGGCTCGATATGCTTATACATATGTATACAGCAATAAATCTGAGCATTTGAAAAAACGACACACGTAAGTCAATTTTGGCCGTTTGTTCTCTAAAGGTCTACATCGTGGGGCTTCTATCTAATATATAAAATTGGAATATATAATTGGAGTTTGAGATTGTTTTGCGTCAAAAATACAAATTTTTAACCCCACATATGTACATACTTATATTGTCCTTAAAAAAAACTCTTTTTAACAATTATTCTTTGACTTTTATTTAATTACTCTTTAAATAACCGTTATTTCTGACCTTTGTTTTATAAATCGAAAATAACAATTATATTTGATTTTCATCTAAATAATCTGCAAATAACAGTTATTTTTGATTTTTAAATTATATGTCTTAGATAACAGTTATCGAAGACTTTTATTTATAAAAGTCATAAACAAAAATCAGTCACTGACCTTTATTTTTTAAACCATACTTATAAAAGAAATTTGTATAAATAGTAGTAAACTCTTGTTTCCCAACACCTTCTTAACTGCGAAAAGTGTTAGTGACTTTTATACGAATGATTTTAAAAATAAAAGTCGGTGACTGATTTATAATGATGACTTTTAAAAGTAAAAGTCTTTAATAACTGTTATCTAAGACACATAATATAAAAATCAAAAATAATTGTTATTTTTTTTTTAATTTTGCATAAAAATTGCAAACAAATTTTTTTTTCAAATTTGAGTCTCGGTGAAAAAAGAAATCGGTTGGTATGTATCACTTAGTTGTAGAACATTTTCGTCATAGTGAATTTTTCCATGACAGTTTTCATCAATAGCTGTTATGTTCGGTCCCTGATTCACAGATATGATGATTTGTATTTAATAGTTAATATATATGAACACTTTTCCGGTGCTTAGTGTAAAGTTACGGTGACCATTCGTACCGATTTTGGCAGGACAATACCGATTTTGAGAAAATTGTCCCGCCGAATATTTTTTAAAGGTCGGGACGTAAAAGTGTCCCGATTTTTCATATTTGTACAGATTAAATCCCGATTTTCAGTGTTTTCTTTATTAATTTAATAGGAGTCTCCCTGTACTCTGGCTTAAAAATAATTTTTCGCACAAACGTGGCAGCACTTTTGTTACCACAAAGGACATAGAATATAAGGGAGCCATAAACGTAGCCAGCATCATTATCTTGTATGATCTGTGGTTATGTTTTATTCTGTTAAACTGGTACTCTCGCTATATTGTAGCCCATCATTCTTGTCTAAATTTTTTAAAGGTTTTTATAATTGTTTGTTAAGTTTTTTTTTATGAAATGATTCTAACTTAAATTAGTAAAATTAGAAAAAATAATACTAATTCCCTCCAAAATATAATGGATAAGAAAAATATAATATCTAACAAAAACCATGTAAGTCAAAATTTCTAACTTTGTTCAAAAATTAGCATAATTGGACAAATTAAATTTCTTAGAAACATTCCGAGTATGCAGTTTTGCAGCCCATTCATTCCGTTTATTTTAGCAAATTTTGACGAAGAATACGTTTTACGTTTCGATGTGGAGGCTTAAATGCTTAAATGTTGTAGTTGTAATTTTTAGAGCTTCACGAACACGTTTGTTGCACGAGAACTAATGAAGCGATTTCAAATAAAAGTATGGCGTTTCAAAGAAAAAATTCCAAACCTATCGACATCATATATCCTTGAAAGTAACCAATTCCGTTTCTGTCGTAGAAACAACGATAAATATTGGCTTATTTTGGGATAAAATTTGAGACTCTAAAGTACTCTAGCAACTTATGATTTGCGGATATAACTTTCATTTTCGGGACATAGGTTCCTTGGAGCAAGATAAATATTTTCGTCTTATATAATTTCAGCAATTTGTTTTCTTTAATAAAAAATTCAAGGTTTTTCCTATCGTTTGGTATATGGGAAGTATTGGTTGATATCTTTTAGGTATGTTTATTTTATTCAAATATATGGGCATAAATGATTTTCCATACAAAACCACTTTGTCATCATTTTGCAAACACGTGCACGCGCATGATTCAATAACTAAAGGTTCGCTCATTATTGACATTCGAGTTTTGACACTCCCTTAACTGTGAAACTGTGTTCTGAGCAAACCTTTCATTATTGAATCATGGTGCATGCGTTGGAAGTGAGAGGAGACAAAAATTATGTGTGTGTAGGTATTTCGGCTTTTGAGTATCAGATGGCGCAATATTTTTAAGCTAATCGCAGCGTATGTTTGTAAATACATGCATACGTACATATGTGGATTGAGTTAATGTGGATCTGTTTTTCTTTTAGTAATCTATGTATGTACACATGAATGCATAATACGCGAAAACTTGTTCGTCATATCAGATCTGTACCCTTCGTTCGATTTTACAAAATGAGGTATCAAATTGAAGGGCTTGACCTGTATGTGCAATGTCTTCTTACTTTTTCAAAAAGAGTTGCTACCTGATACAAAAAATTAAATTCAAATTGTTTTTAGGTTAAATCAATTATTACACTATATGTATCTATCGAAATGGGTTTGAAAAGGCTTTATTTCTTAATAGTATGTAGTAGGGTTGCCCACTGTTTCAAAAAGTAAGTTCGACATAAATAAAGGCAGCAAATTGAAATGCATATCCTGATATGGATGTCAGACGAATAAAGTATTGGTTTGAAAAATATTTCGCAGAGGGTTGCCACCTTGTTACAAAATTAGATTCAACATAAGCAATAGGTTAAATAAATTACTTCAATATGAAATTAAATCAAAATTGCTTTGAAGAAACTTTATTTCCAAACTGCCACCTGATTTTATAATTAAATTGAATTTGAATTGATAGTATTGGAAAATTTATATTTGTATCACGATACAAATGTCAGACGACAAAAATTTTGGTTTAAAAATAATTTGAAAAGGAAAAATCGAATTAAATTAAGTGATATAAAATATTGAAATATTGGCGTCAAACAAAGGAGTATTAAGAAATATTTAGTTTGAGCATTTATATCATTAAAGAGGGTTTCCACCTGAAATTATTTAACAAGTCAAATGAATTATTAAAGTATGGGTATAAATTGACATGACTTAAACATGTTTTTTTCTGAACTTTATTTAAGAGGGTTGCCATAGATTTTAGAAAGCTAATTCACTTGAATTAAGAGAACTAGATACACAATTTAAATATGTATCGAATTATGTGTGTCCGTCGAAAAAGGCTAAACAAGGTTTTCGTTTTAAAATATTTTGAATAGGGTTTCCACCTGTTTCAAAATTAGAATTTAATTAAAGTATGCATAAGTTAAATGAAATAATAACATATGACGTGAAAAGAAGGTGGTAAGATCAAACTAAGGATGAATATTTACAATATTAAAGAAAGCTGCTACCTGTTTAAAAAGGTAAAGTCAAATTATTTAATAATGTTCGGGCTGATCACAATTACATTGAATTACATTGAAATATTAAGTTGCACTTGTACTATTACTTTTAATAATTTTAATACTTTAATACCTTTTTTTGAATTATCCAAATGAATTTCGTACTGTACATAAGTTAGTGCCTAATTTGCTGTGTATGACAACCCCATGAACTTATAAAGTTGTTGTAACATTAAAGCTGTGACAGACGGCAAAGCTTATGCATATAATCTGGCATACATATGCGCATAATAATTTTGACCTCACAGACGGCAGTTATGCGGATAAACGAGCCGCAAGGTCGTGGGTTCGAGTCCCACGGCCAATTAAATTTTCATTTTTTTTATTTTTTTTTTTCATTCTTTTTTTTATAAGTTCTATATTTTTTTTACGTTGCTTTCAGTTAGTTGTTGTTGACTTTTTATTAAAATTCAACTCTAAAAATTTAAATTAACTGATAGTAAAATAAAAAAAGTGATATAAAATAAAGCAAATGAAAACAAAATAAAGTAACATTAAATATATAGATCAAATAAAATTAAAAAAATATAAAATAAATAAAAACAAAAAAAAATTTCGCAATCGCTCCAACCGAGGATCGAACCTGGCAGCTACAGGCTTGTATCCCGTAACTCTTACCACTCGGCTACTGCGGACGCGGAACACGCGCGCTTTGTTTGCTTACTTGTAGAAAAGACAACAGCTGACCAGTGTTGTCAACGAAAACTGCCCGGATCCGAGTTAATTCCAAAAAATTTCGTGCATTTGTTCAGCTTCTTATGCGCATATTAAAGAGGAAAATGCATGAGTCAAAGCAAATAAAGGCTGGTTATGCAAATAATCGAGCCCGTTTGTCTACCGTATTATACTTATACTCATTAAAGTCAGTCGTTCGAAAACCACAGTCTGTAACACTTGTTTCATTTTCGCTATAGCTACTAACTTACCGAAGTTTATAGTCCCGAACCTTTGTACGTTTTCGTTTAAACGTTTATATCAAAAGCAGCAAAAACCCCTGCTGCAACATTAGCAGGGATCTGTTTTCGCGAGTTTTATTAGTTTAATTAACTGGCTGTGGTTTACCCGCCGTAAATATTAATCTGGAAAGGGAAGTCTT